ATGGGAGTGGTGTCAAAATCTCCACAGTTAAAGACTTCTCTAGACACAACGGTCCTGGATAAAAAAAATATTGAGCAAAAGATACTTAAGTGAATATTGACAGCTTTATGAAGGACATTTAGAGCTCTAAATGTTATATAGAGGCATCAGAGGGATCATAAGACTCTATTTTTGCCATAGAGAAGTAAAGGGCTTTAACAAACCCTCAAGACCAAATCCCACTTTAATTTTCTGAAGTTCTCAGCAAGATTCCTTTGTGGCACTAACCTAACAAACAAATAAACAAAAAGTGAAGCTGACCAAGTAATTTCAGCTGCTCAGAACATCACTGTGGAAGGAATAAATGAGATGTAAAAATATTCCAAGTTAATCATAAATTAAGTTGTTGGTAGTAACACAAAACTTTCTAGCATGTATTCACAATTCCCCTTTAAAACCAGTAAAAAAAAAAACCCACAAGTCTCAATGTGTTAAATATCCTGACTCAGAAAATGATTTCCTTCAGAACTGGCTGTTCTCTGCCATTCACTGATTCTCACATTCAGTATCAGTTCTCCCAGTATCAGCACACGTCTTCACCTCAAAGTCTAACTCACGAGTTGCATTTTTTATGAAACATCACAAAAATTATAGAAAGACCCCTTTTGACCTGAGAAAGCCACTGTAGGAATTTCTAAGCCACCCACTCTGCATTACATTTCAAAAATGAGGCACATCTCCCTTTGATAGCAGCATGTCTGCCGTCCTTTTGTCCTCATAATCAGGCTGGAGCCCTGGAGCAGGTTTGTTTCAGCACAGCAAGGACAAAACAGCGAGGAGCAGCAAGGAGGTTTGACTGGAATAATAAACTACATTGGCGTAGCATTGAGATTTGAACAGGATCTGAAGGGCTGTGAGATTTGCATACAGGTCACTCATTTGAACTGGATCTTCGATTAGTCTCTGGGAGAGTTTCTAGGTGTCAACATCTCTGGTGCTATCAGACTACAGCAAACCTATTTACAAACAGCACCTTCACTTGCTTTTGCTGCTGAAAGAGGACGTGGAGCCAACTGTAATTGCTCACCTCTCCTAAAGGGAGCTTAATTACTGGAGATGCTGGGAGAGCGGCACACAATAACCCGCAGGGATCGCACTGCTCCTCCCTCCCCCATGGAATACACACAGATATTCACCATTTAGCACTAATAGGCGGCAGCAGCCCTGCAGCACTCAGAGGGATGCACTGTTCTGCTCTGACAAGCCATGCAGCAGGACAATAAATTATCCGCTGCACTCAAAAAGCATGGCCAGGCAATGGGCACCAGCACTGTGGTCAGACAGACCACAGCGATTCTTCAAAAGCACAAAGAGCTGCATGCTGAGTTTATTTCTTTAATATCGTACTGTGTGATAGCAGGAGCACAATTATACAGCCCACCAGATTGCTGCAGCTCAGCAAGGACAACCAGCTTACAGGGTCAAGGAAAAGAAAATATTAAATAACATTGCTGGACATGCATTTGCAGCTCTTCCCTGGCTGCAATACATTGATTTGACCAAATTAGCCCCTCAGATGCGGGCTGGGACTTCACAAGTGGCAAAGATCTGGGAGGGAGATAGCACCTTCCAAGTTGCTTGTCTGAATACACAAGGGAAACTGTGAGCAACTCCTGCCAGATGAAAGCACTATCCAGAAATCACTGTTCTGAGTTTCCATACCTCCTTTTACCCTTAAAAGCACTAATGATCTTTACTGTAAGCCCTTTTCTGCCACACATCAAAAACAGCCATTTCTGAGAGAGAAACACTACCTGAATGGTGCCCAGGCTGTCCCAACAAGAAGCAGAGGACTGCCTTTCCTAACATACTATAAAGATGATGCTGATTTTCTTCCTGTTCCAAAGATTATTTATTTATTTATTTTGCATCTCTCCCCAGGCAATCATTATGCACATGATGCCACATGGAAATTAAATTACTGATCTGGGACAATAATCAAGATATCAGCTGAGTCGAGGAGAACATGAACATGTAGTCGGGAGGAAACAGGAACTGAGGAGCACAACTCGCACACCAGCATTCCTGCCTGGGTAAGCAGAACACACAGCCCTGAAAACAACTTTCAGAAGGATGTTCAAGGCCCCACTTATCTAAATCTACATCCAAGAGATAGGATCCCATTGCCCATCCTACTCCACACAGCTCTAACCCAGGCAGCCTACTTCACTCCAGGTGCTTCGCTGTTTTCTTCTCTCCTTCCTTCCCTCCAGCACACCTAGGACATCAATCAAAACAGGTAAATCTTTCTCAGAGGACTGGCATGCTTCCCAGTCCTTATCACCACTGTCCTCCTGTTGGGGATTTCAAACAATATTAACGGTGGCATAAGCTGAGCTATCACAGCTTTTAAAGGAGAAAGTGTCAGAGGGCTCTGTGGGAAGAAGCACTGTGTCAGCTAGATGTGCTTGAAACTATTCTTACAGCATCAGTGAAAAATAATGTCCTTCTGGTAAGCACATGTGGGTGGTATAATTAACAAGAAACCTGGGCAAAACTGGAGCGAAGTACAGGAAATTCACTATGTGCCACTATCATATGGTGTTTGAAAGCTTCAGGTATTACAGTATGTTTTTTCTAAGTGTAACCAGGTGGATCTCTGAGCAGATACAAAGCAAAGAGCTCAAGCCTACATTCTAGATTTGTCCTTCAACAAAAAGTAATGTCTTCCCCATTAACAACACTACTAACACAAACCTGCAACTGCAATTCTAAAAATTAGCTAATTAAAGCTCTAGTCATCAAAGGAGCAAGAGTGACCAAGTGCTACTTTGTGACCTGCCAGAAAGGAGCTGCCCTGAAGGGAAAGGCAGCAGCTGTTTCCCAGCACGTAAGAGAAGTCAGTAAACTGCAGAGCAAAGCCCAGGAAATCTTGCTTTCAAACAAAACTGGGAGGAGTGTTATGGGATTGCTTGGGAATGCAGCTGGAAATGGGCCAGCACTTAGAATGCATGAAGGCTGGTACTGTATAAATGATAGAAATAGGAGCAGCTGCTTAGATAGGAAAATACTGTTTGGTCTACATGTGAATTCATCACATGGTATTATTCAAAATCTACCCACTATTAGTTTGGCTATAGCATATTTTGGTGTAAACTTGCAGGCCCTCTCTTTTTTCAAGAGTTCTCATTTTGCTTTGGAAAAGCTTTTTGCAGTACCACTGAGGAGGTGAATTTTAGTCAGGCTCTGTTTTGTGCCAAATATCATAGAATTGGACTCTGAAAGGATGGCAGGAACTAACCTAGGTCAGGAGCACGGCCAGGGGGCAAAGCAATGCCTTTGGTTTGGAGGGGAGGACAAGGGAGCAGTCAAACACAACCAAGCCTCTCCCTGCAGGCAGAAACATCTCCCCCAAGTTGGATAAATCACCACTTCTAACACAAAACACATTGTGGATCTGTGGGGCGTAGCAACCTTGTACAGCTCTTTGCAAGAGGAGGCAGAGAACAATGCTCTTTCCACAGAATGAGTAGCAGAAGGTACCACTTTCAGCAAGTCAACACAGGGGACAAAGACGGAGCTGACCTCAAAAAGAAGAGTTGTTTCCCCTATGAAACTGCATAACAGACTTCTTGGCAGTGATAGGAGCTCTGCCAGCCACAAGCATGCTCCCCTCCTTCCAAAGGGCACATTAGTCCGGATGGGGCAGAGTTGTCAGCTACAGTTTTACATCACCCTCTGCCTTAACCTTTACCTTAGCAAGTTCTGAAGGGTTTTGTTTACACAGATGGACACAACATGGCCTTCATTTCCAGTGAGAATCTGCTAGAGGAAGCATACGAGTGAAAGAACAGGTACAGAATATTGAGTTCTTCCATAAGATAGAGCCAAATGATAGAACAAAAGGAACCACAACTCATGTTTTCAGTCATACTAAAGATGCAGCATTTTGTTCCAGTCTTTTGCTGACCTGAACACTTGCAGAGATGTAAACAGTCATGACTGCAAAATCCTCTCTTAATTATCCAAAGCAATCCTGTCAGCAGGAATAAAGTTCTAAAATGCATTTTCTACAACTGGGAAACAAACTCCTGAGCCGCATAATCGCTGGGTATCAACCACAGTATGAGAGCTATGCAGAATGTTTTGGTCTTCACGCTAACTTGCTGCAATGAAATCTGACAGTATATTCTCTAATACATTCTCTACTCTCTATTAATCATATCCCAATTTTCACTGAATTGCCTTATAAAAAGGCTCACAAACAAGCTTACAAATGTATTACTGATAGTGTGAATTCCTTTCACCCATTGGGCAAATAAATACACTTGGGAAATTCCAGAGAGCCAACTCCGTGCAACATAAGTTTTGTCATTTACTGAGACAGCCCCAGCCCCACCATCAAGCTCGTATCCAGGACAAGGGCCATACAAAACTCAACATGCTGCTCCACCTTTCCCACTCCCCTCCCCTTCTTTACTTCCTCAAGTCAGAAGTGGAAGGGAAATGAGCGCCCTATTCAAAAGCACAAGCGATTCATTTTTGCATTTTCAGGAGCCATTGAGACCTGAAAACTCTATGCAGCTCTTGCAGCAGTTTGAAGCTGATGCCTGTTGCACTCAGGCCTGAATGGATGGGCAAATGAGTTAGCTGCAGTGGATGTGGAGAATCACTGTCAGATAATGCTTGGCACAGCTCACGAGTAAATGGGCCGTGTGAAAAGGCAAAACCTTACTGGAATAACGAGAAGCCCTGAGACCATGTTCTCAGCAGATCTTTGTCCCAGGCATGCAGCCGAGCACAATTCTGCACTGTAATGATGTGGTGTATTTTTCTCCTCTTCTCCCTCTCCAAAGGTCACACAAGGACAACCCTTTCTGTTCCCACTAAAAGCCTTCTTGCATGCAGGATTCTTCACATGGGAAGGAAGAGCGTGACAAGTCCCCACCCCTATGCTTTTCCTTTTCAAAGGGTGAGGCCACTACAAGGAGGCTGAAATTTCAATAAAAAGGAGGCTGAGATGGAGGCAGATGAGATTTCCTTCTTGTAATGCTCAGAGGAAAAGGATCCTGCAAAGCACAGCTCTTACTAAGAACAGAAATTAAAATTTCCTTAAATAAATATAAGGAAAGAATCCATGAGGGATAGCAGCTGACAGGAACAATGAGACATGCCCAGGTCAGCCCCTGTCGTCCATCGCCTTGCAGATCTCCCAGGCAGATCGAGTCGATGGGCAGGCCAGCTTAGGACAGGACTGGTGGCTTCGTGTCGCTGCTATCGGCGCCATCTGCAGACAGAAAGAGTTGTCAAGTCTCTGCGGCTTTGAAGAACACATGGAGTGGCTGCGAGCTCCCCTATAGAGGGACCAAAGGTTACTTACATCCGTAAACACTTATCCTTCCCTCCACTCGCTACCCTCTGTCCATCTGGGCTCCAATCTGTTGCAAAAACCTAGCGTAAAGAGAGACCCAGTTAGTCCTGCCTCCTGGAAAGAACAGCCATCCCCATTTCCAATACCACAGCTTGGCTGAACACTCACCTCATCTGCATGGCCAGGAAGATCAATGGCCAGTTTCTTTGTCTCAGCATTCCAGACCTTCAGCGTGCTGTCGCTGCTCCCACTCACCAGCAAGCGGCTGTCGGCTGACCAGGCGATCTGATACACGGCTGAGACGTGTCCTCTCAGTGATGTCAGGTACCTGAGGCAGAGGTGGCACGACCAGGCAGTCAGAGGAGCAGGCACCCACGTTTGTCTCAAACCCACTGTTGTGCTGCCTTTGTGCTTTTTCATCATAGAATCATCGTTTTCTACCTGCAGTCAAGCCCTGCCATAGGATATCTAGCACGCTCCATTCCTGCACACACACAGCAGCCAATACAGAATCCACTCAGTATGTCTTAAATCCCTCCCATATTGGTTCAGACCCTTCTAGGGGACAGGCTTTCACTTCAGTTCCTCCACCACCAGCAGGCAATGCTGCAGCCTCACTGTACAGGTGTGTCCTTCCTCTCTCAAGCTCAATAGGAACATGTCTAGGCTTAGAAAGACCACTAAATCACTGACACAAAACCAGAGATCACAGGTACAAAGATAGAACGATGGAAGGACTGCCGCTCCATAAAGCTAACCAATACTCTGTCAGGAGGTTAAAAGCTGGATTGCAGGGGCATCCAAACACCAACAGCATCACTCAGAGCTACACAAATTTCCATCATCCAGAACAAGCTGTTCCCTGGCACAGGCACTGTTTAAACTGGGTCACTCTACAGTGTGCAACGTGCACATGTCTTCAGGAGAGCAGTCAAGTGGAACATCCCACCCCAATACAGCCATGCCTGCCCCGGAGAACCATCCCTGCAGCAGACAGCATGTGCCACTTGGGTGCAGTGCTGTGGCTGGGTAAAAGCAGCACCACATACATCCAGCAAGCAAGACCGTGCAAAACATGAGGAGGCAGACAAGGGATCTATCAGAGGCAGAGAGTGATAGCAGTAGAGCAAAGAGGCAGAATATCTTTAAGATGCTGAATACACCAGGGAGCTGCTGACAGTGACAATGGGGTGCTGCTGATCTCTGCATAATCTGTGCATCACACACAGACCCAAACACCACCTCTGTAACAGAACAAAAAAAAAAAACTCACTTTCCTGTCCTGCCCTCCCAGAGCTTTATTGATTTGTCAAAGGAAGCACTGGCTATTATCCGGGTGTCTGGTGAGAAGAGGACTTGGTTAATCAATGCCTGGTGACCTGTCATTCTCTCCAGTGGCTTCTTATCTTCTGCTGGCCTCCAAAGAAACAGCGTGAAATCATCTGAACCTGAGACGAGCCTTTCTGGTCCCTGGCCCTGAGAAAGGGATGAAAGAACTCAAATTTTGTACAAGCCAGCTGTGGAATGTTTAGAAACACACCCAGTGTTGGGGTCAACAGCCAACTGTGCATGTTTACTGCTTCCACCAGCACCAGTGTTATAAACCAAGCAAGGATAAACTTTGTAATGGGACTTACCCTGACTTTATCATACCTCTGCTGTGCCTTGTCCTTCAGTTCTGCCACTGGAAAAGGAAAAGGGAGGAGGGTAAGAAGAGAGACTGGAAACTGTTGGAAGAAAAGCAACTTCAGCTTTCAGGAAAAGCAAGTTCAGCTCATGGCAGCACTAAGAAGAGACATCAGGTTTCCCCGTCATCTCCTCCACATTCCAACATAAGGCTGCACTTACAGGAGCCACTCATATCCTGTGGGTTAATGGTGGCTTCAGCAGGTTCAAAGGCACCAGTGCGAAGAACGTAATCAGTGCTAAGGGCCATGGTGTTCACCCAGTGAGCGTGGCCTTGCAAGGTGCGGCACAGGATGCCCTAGAAACAAAACCACCCCACTTAGAGAGGGAAAGGCAAGACAGACAGACAGACAACTATAAACAGGAAGAGCAGGCGAAGTTGCATCCAGCCCCCTTTGTTGGCAGCTTGTCGGGCTACCTGCCCCACTTACATCCTGGCTTCTCCACACTTTGATAGTTCTGTCCTGGGAGGAGGAGTAGAGCAAGCCGTCGCCTCCCCACTTCACACAAGTCACCGACTGCGTGTGGCCCGTGAGGATTTTGTCACACCTGCCCATCTGCGTGTCCCAGATGCGGATGCTGCCATCCTTGGAAGCACTGGCCAGGTAGCGGCACTCTGGGTTTCTGAGCAAAAAAAAGACAAAATGCATTCGCACAGTGCACGCATCTCCTCCACAAGATCCCCAGCATCAGCCCCAGAAGTCAATAAAAGACAACTTTCTCTTTTGGGTTAAGACCAGAGGGAGGCCAGGAAGTGGGCTACAGACAGCCAGATTCCGCAGGTAGAGGAACAGCAGGCAGATGCATTCTTCCAAACCAACTATTGGGCTGCACCCAGGAAGCACTGATCCAGTATAAACCCGGCTCCTGTGTCTTGAGTAATTGCTCTGTTATTACAGGAGGCAGCTTTAGTCCATTGACTTATGAGGGAACCACAAACTGGCACCCTTCCTGGGCAAGGAGACTTCCTTCAGCAGCACAGACCACCAGAAACAAAGCCATGTATAATATCCCCTATCTACACCATACTTTGTGTCTGGCAGGAGATGTGCTGGCCCGCAATCCAAGTGATGCAGAGCTGAAAAGTCCATCCTCACAGTTCAGGAAGAGCAAGCTGGACACTGCTGGAAGCTGCTGGCCAGCAGCCAGTGAGAACAGGGGAACAAATGGTCCCCAGTCCTTTGCACAGCATTTTTATCAACACCTTTTTAATGACTCGCTCCAAAACCAGCAACAGTTCCCACACCTCCTTGGGGCAGTGACTCCTATAATCACTGGCACTTTGGCCCCAGTAGGAAAGAGACACTCACTGCCTCCTGCTGCATCACAGCCTCAGGAGTGGGAGCTGCCAGAGCACCAGCTTTGTTTCTCCTTAGCTGGCTGCTGACAACAAACTGTCCCCAAAGGAGAAGCAAAACTGAACAGCACAGCACTATGCCAAGCAGTCAGGAGATGCAGTAACAAGTGACAGCACCACTGCATCGATGGCATGAGGGGCTGAGGAAGAACTCAACCCATCCTTTTGTGCAGGAACTGAGCACAGAGTACAGCCAGCTGGAGACAGGGAAGTCAAGCCCTGGCAGGGGCATCTCCTTCATCTCCATTTCCTGATCCTCCTTCATAATCAGTTTTTGCAAATCCAATTGTTTGCTGGAATTTCCTACTGGCAAATTCAATTTACAGGACTCTGCTCTAACAGGACCCTTCTCCCCTTCCTCCCCACCCTTTTTTTCCCCCTTTCATTGCTATAATTTCTTGTATTATTGGCTACAACTATCCCCCTCCACTCATCCCTCCCAGACAAAGCTTTAGCTGATTGGGATAAGGAGCTTGCACAGTTAATCAGCACCCATGACAAACAGATGAATCGGGATGCAGGACGTCAGAAAGAGAACGCTTTGCAAAAGCTTAGCTCAGGCTCCACGTCCACAGGCTTTCCTGCTTCCAGTGGACAGTTTCTGTAGCACTATGAAAACATCAAGCAGTTTCCATCAACAGGTCTCACTTTTATAGGAGGGTGAGGAAATCCGAAGCACAACTCAACAGCAAGCAGCAGCTGGGACTCCAGAGCTGGATGCATTTTTCCTGCCCCACCTTGTGAGCCACTTCTTCTGAACACACTCTCTCTGCACACCATAACAGGACAAAGGCAAACAAGAGGAATGCCCTAAAGATCAAGCTCATCTTTGCTGTAAAGTAAAGGGGAAGGAAGGAAGGCTGGGCTGGCCCCTCACTTACATGTGGAGCGGCTCCCAGCACAGACACGTGATCCATTTGGAATGGCCAGTGAGAACGCGGCCGATCTGATTGCCTGTGGCTGGGTCCCAGAGAAATATCTGCCCAAGAGAGGAAGCAAGAGGGTTGTGTCAGGCCACACGTCACGTGAATCCCAGGCATGGTTTGGGCTCCATTTAGAAACGATAGGTATCCTCAGCCTTGTGGGGGTTTACAGAGCAGAAAGGGAGGGGAGCAGGAGAGCTGGATGCCTTTGCTGATCTCAGCTGCAATCAGCTGACATCTCAAAGCATGAGACCTGGTTGCCTCCCTCTTCACTTCAGATGCTGCCGCTACAAAAATATCTGCCCCAGCCCAAAAGCAATCCAGCTCTCCAGAAAGCCAGCCTGAGCCTTACAGCCTGTGCCAGAGAGTCGGTGAATGTTTGCAGAGCATGATGAAAGCCAGAGCGGGCTAAATGCTACTTATTATCGGATTCTGTGGGTGGGACACATGCTGGTTTTCTGGTGCTTTTTTGCTCTCTCTGTAAATGCTCATCAAAAGAGCCAAGGCATTAGTCATATGCTGCAAGAAACTCGGAGAAACAACGAAAACAGAACAAGCAGCTCCCTGGGTTAGAGTAAAGCCAGAACCTGCTTGTTTCTTTGGACTCATATCACAGCGGCCTCACAGGGCAGCTGCTCAGACACGGAGCCCAGGTCAGCAGCACTCAGCAGCTCTGCAGCTGCTGTCCTCTCTCCCAGGCTGTTCAGAAGTCAGAGCAAGCCAACGTCCTGCTGCAGATTAGCAAGTTACTGACTTGCTTTTAATTGTGCCCACTTGCTCCTGCTTCCCAAGACATTTCTGGAAGCATGTCTAGCACACAAGTTTTGCCCAATAACTGGGGCAGGGCTCCCCCAGCATTCCTGTAAGAGGGAATTTGGCTGTGTCTGAACAGGAGCACTGCGAAACAAGCTGCTGCTGCCTGTCTGGGTCACACACAAAACCACACTGGCTCGTCCAAGCGATACCCCTTCTTGCTCCAGACATCTCCCTCGTGATGGAACTGTCTGCCAAGGACCACGTCTAGATCCTGGATGCTTTCCTGTACAGAGGGAAAAGTGTCTGCCACAAGACAGCAGGGCTCTCACAGCGAGACTTCTGCAAAGGCAACAGAGTGCTGCCTGGCACAGCTGAGTCACAGGCCAGTTCAAAGACACCACATGCTCCCACTGTGACGTGCCAACATGCAAAGCTTCTCCAGGACACTGGGAATCCTGCCCTGAACAACTAGACACCTGCTTGTCCCAGCTGCTAGAGAAAACAACAAGTCTTCATTGCTAATACCCTGGAGCCCACTTAATAGGTTGTATGGCTGTGGAGGGTCTCCTGGGCTGACCAATCCAGACCCTCTGCCAGGGTACTAATGGACCTACCTGGCTGTTTTTGCAGCCTGAGGCCAGCTTCTTGCCATCAGGTGACCAGGCGATGCTGAGCACCCAGTGCCTGTGACCTGGGAGAAAGAGCACAAGCAGGTTTGTGAGCAGAGAGCTGCACCCACCTGTCCCCAACATCCCAGGATGCAGCAGCCACAGCAGTGGGACGAGAGCGGGGCAAACCCTTTACGTTGCTCCTGGCCAGACCTTCTTCCTCTTTTTCCTCAACTCAGTGCAAAAGAGCTGCTCCATTCCCCAGAAGGCAGTCCCAGCCCACACAGCACAGGAGGCCTGTCCTGTTCGAGTGGGACGGGGGGGAGCTGCCCTCCCAGGACACCCTGCACCCACCTTTGGCTGTGAACTGCGGCGTCTCTGTGCTGAGGTCCCAGAAGCGGACTGTTGTATCCCCAGAGCCGCTCGCCAGGTACCTGGGACAGGAGGGACAGCAGGATCAGCACGGGGCCCCGATGGCTGCTCCATGGAGACGTGTCCCACCCACAGCCGGAGCCTCGTACTTTCCCGTGGGGCTGAAGGCGACGGAGATGACGGCCTCGGTGTGTCCCTCCAGGGAGCTGGTGCAGCGTGTCACCGCCCGCACCCTGAACACGGCCTGCGGCTGGTAGATGATGTCGAGAACCTTCTCTGTCTCCACTGCTTGCCCTGCCAAGGTCTTCTCCAGCGAAACGACGATCTCGGCATCGTGGAAGAAGAAGGCCAAAGGCACCGGCTCATCCTGGAGATGAAATTGCAGGAGAGTGGCAGGGGGCGGCTCCAGGCACCAGGAGCTAAGTTCGCCTCGGACCCGGCAGCCTCACCTGCTGCAGGAGGGCGTTGCACACCAGTTGCAGCTTATCCGGGGTGATGCTGACAGGCACGTCGAAGGGGGAGCCCAGCGGCTCGCCGGCCTCATCGCGGAACTGGATCAGGAGCCGCTCCACGTCCTCTGTAGGCTCCATGCTCTGCGGGACAGCGGATTCAGGGCCAGTACGGAGCGGCCCCGCAGTGCTCGGCCCCAGGCAGGGACGGCCCCCGGCGGGGAGATGAGCCGCTGCGGGGGAGCCTCGCGGTGGAGGCACCGGCAGAGACCCACGCAGGAGGCCGGAGGAGCCCCGCAGGAGACTCCATAGCAGTCAGGAGACCGCGGGACGCCTCAGCCCCTGCCATCCCGTACAGCCCCGCCCCACTCCAGGCTCTGCGCGCGGACGCAGCCCCTCCGACCCAGCTCCGGTCCCGTCCCTCCCCCCGCCGGGTACCGCTGCCGGCCCCGCTCACCGCGGCCATGTGCCCGTGCGACCCACGTGGGCCGGAAGCGGCCGCTCTGCGCGGGGCGGGGAGTGCGGGAGGCGCTGGGCGCGGCGCTGCTGCCCCCTCGTGGCTGGCGGTGGGAACCGCGAGTTCGGGACGGCCCGAAGCGTTCCACCGAAACGCTGTTTAGCTGGGCTGGAGAAAGACTCAACCCTGCTATGCAAACCCGTCATGAAGCGAGCAATAAATTCCGTGTTGCTCGTCTCGTCTGCAGCGCAGCTGCTGAAAGAATACGTGATCAGGGCCCAAACTTGGGGCCTGTAATCTGTAAACGTGCTCTGCTAGGAGAGCAAAGTAGCTGCTGAGGTCTGAATGTGGCCAAAGTAGGAAAAAGAAATAACGGTGGTGAACACAAAGCAAGTTGCTGTTCAGGTTTCCGCACAAGCCAGAGCCATGCACGTGCAGTTCAGCACTGCACGATGTCCATCTGCACCTTTCCCTACATGTGATCACACAGCCCAGCCTTGTGAGCAACCTCAGTTCCCGTTGCACAAATCACACCTTAAGCTAAGGAAGGAATCCTTCAGTACTTCACACTACAGCGGGTTCAGAGCTACCAGTGCTCCCTAATGCGCAGAGCAGCCAGAACTCGGCCTTCCCAGACTTGGGTTTTCTCCATCAGCTCTCCACACATCAGAGACATCAGGCATGGCAGCAGTGAGACACCCAACACAGCCCTACTCCCCCCTCCCCAATTCAGAAACTTGTTTAAGATTTATAGGCATCATCCCTAATTCGGTGTCATCCATTACAAGATTAAGAAATGCTTGCAAACGTAAAGGGCAAACATGACAACATTTTACCCCTTTTATGAACCTCCCCGACCTACATTAAAAAAAAACAACATCTAAATTCAAATCCCATCAAAACAGAAAATTGACATAAATTTCAATATTTATATATTTTAAATCAAAACACAATTAAATATAGTATGCTTTAAGTACATGAATACTTGGGCATGAGAGAAATAAGTGGTGGTACATAGTACCAAAAACCTATACACAGCCTTTTTGCCTTTTCTTTTTTATATAGACAATACAGTGTCTCTCTATACAATCAAATATTGCAACAGAATAACACTTGCTAGTCAATCAAAATATCTGGAACACTGGAGATGATTTGAGTTCTTTTGCAAAGTGATTTTTTGCACAAGTTCAAGAAAAAAGAAAGCAATCATGAGTAAAATAAGAAACCCAAAGTAGAAGTGTTGTATGCTAAAAGTGCAGCGATGTAACAGAGTTACACACAGTGCCTTTGATACTCTGTAAAAATCAATTCGCTGGGAGAAATGGAGGTGCTGCCTCAAGCTGTGGCTTTACTTAAAGGTTTTGTATGTTGCAAGTATTGACAGTGTGAGGAAAAAGGCAGTCAGAGGTCATTAAAGTTATTTTCCTTTGTAAACCAAACATCTGGAATTAGATACTATGTTGTTTGAGGACAACAAGCTATGCAGAATGGCAGTAACACATGGCAGCAATTGCTTTGTTCCTCGCTCAGGGGATGGAAAGAAAAAAAAAAGGAGCAGTCTAGCGGGTAGAATCTCCTTCAAACATGGTGTGCATCCACAGCCGAGGCTCAGAGCAGAGGGGAGCGCAAGCAGATTTAAGTCTGCTCGAGTCTGCTGTGTTAGAAGCAGGAGATGAATGTAAGTGTGCCATTGTCAGAGCTTGACAAGAAGAGTTACACCGTCCAGGCCTTGCTCCTCATCATTCTACGCTGCCTTCAAAGTTAATGCAGTTATGAAGTAAAATACATTTATCTTACAGTTGAATACTCGTCTATTTCAAGTAAGGAAAATTAAAAACTTAGAGATTTTTAGGTCATTCACTGCCAAATGAATTCACCATTTCAGGTTTGCTCCTCCAATGGCCAACGTCAGGGACACTTTCCATGGCCTCTGCAGTCACGTGTCACAAAATCACTGGCTGCAGAACTAGAAACTACAGCAAAACTCTCCCCTCCTTGTTGCGGCTTGTGTCCCCTTCCAGATATTTTGCTAGGAGTCTTTTTGAGACAGGGTCAAGTATTTGTGAAGCTGATCACAGTTTTTCAGTGACACGTTCAGCAATGATCTCTTCATCTCTAAAAACCATCATGCTAAATGCCACATACAACAGGAAAAAGTGTTTCTTCACGCTCTACAGTGGAGGTACAGGATTGCTTCTTTTTAATTCTTCCTTATAAACGAGGGAGTTATCAGCAGTTGGAGTAACAGTGCTTTGTTTTTATTGGCTGTGTTAAAGAATCCACCAAATGGGAAAGTTCACTCATTCTCAAAGCAGAAAACCAGGTTTCCTGTTCTGGTATTCTTAAAAATCATAGCTGGAAAAGGAAGAGCAGGGTTAGAGTTCATCATACCCTAAAACACACACAGCAGTCACTCAATAGAGAGACATTTCGTGCTCACTGATGTTAAAGCCAGGTATGCTTACGAGTTTGGGAAAGAAAGAAAAGCTACTCTCAGTCTTCAGCTTACAGAAACATGCTTAACTGAATCGAGAACATGTGCAGCCACTTGACATTTCCCAGTATTGTGCTGAGTGACCTTTTCATCTGGTCAGACTGGAATTATGTGATTTGCAGCCAAGCTGTTAGGTGAAATTATTGTGCAAGTCATTTAAACAGAACTGCTGCAGAAAAATCAAAAGTCACATAGTGAAGCTATGGGCCAGCGATTGGAGCCCAGTCTGTAGGCACCAACATGCATCAAACACCAACATGCAACACTAAACTGCTTGTCAACACGGCTGCAGACTCACACAGAGCCGCTGAAGACATGTTACAAAACTCCTACAGCACTGTACGCAGGCTGAAAGGAGTCCAGCACTCGGTTCTTCACACCATACAAGTCTGAACTCCTGGCAGCGTGCATTCAGAGGCACCAGGAAAGCAAGCAAGAGCTCTGCTCCTCCCACACCTTGGCTCAGGCCAGTTGGAGGCGTGCATCCTTCCACCTCTTACCTTTGTGCCCTTCTCTGCGCGCTGCTCGCAGTGTGCCTGCTGCATGACATCATTGACTATCATCTTCGCTATCCGCCAGGCCATCTCTTCTTGAGCCTGCCATGGAAAAACATCCCAAACACATGGAATTGTTAAATGAGAATACAGCATTCTCAGCATCATTCACGTTCTCAACCTCAGACACGCAGTTAACATTCACAACACGGTGACTTGTAAGCAGATCTTCCCTTGATGCAAATGGACTTGGCTTCCACACACTGCATTCAATCCAACTAATAGGAATATTTACTGCTTAATACAATTTGGTGAATTTTTTATACTTCTCCAAACCCCTCCAGAGGGGAGAAATGCAGCCTGTAACCCGTGTACAGAGATCACAGCAAAAAGCAAAAAACATGAGCGCTGCCACTCCTACTAAAGACATTGTAATAAAACCCTGTTGACTGTAAGCACATTGTTAATGTTATCAGTTAAACCATCAAGCGCTGGTGGGGGGACAAAAAGAACCCCACACCATCTCACAGGTGTGAGGTATTTGGTACACAGCCTGAGAGTTCTGACTGCTGTTATCAGAGACAGTCAGAGAAACAGCCAGGATTAAGAACCTGAACACTTCACTTCCCTAATCTGGACTGTGAAGTGTGCCACGAGGAGCAGACAGAAGAGGACACACCTCATCCGTGTTTCCTTGAACCCACTTCTTCATTGCTTGTGAAAACATGGACCCTAGTTGAGACAAAAAAAAGAGCTGTATTAGCAAGCTCTGTGGCACATCCTTATTGGAGCTACTTCCCCTACATTTCTGAATGGCCTGCGCTGCTGGTGGCAGAGAACACCAGAGAGGCATGAAAGACGGGAACAGAGGGAGCCATGGTTCTCTTGGCAGCAAGTCCAAATCATTTGTTTTTACCAGAAAGCAGAGTTGAAAAGCAGAATTAACAGCAGATCCTAAAGTGGAAGGGAAGCATGCGGTGAGCTGAGGTTCTTTTTCATTTTGAGACCAAACCTTTGAAGGTTTGATCAGCTCAGCTGCAAGAGGCTTTCAGCCCTGCCACGTTCCATGGAGAGCTCCAGCTCCACCGGGCTGCTCTACTCCCAGCTGGATGAGAGAAGCAGGACTTGGCTAGAGAACATGGCTGGAGATGAGCTTTGCCTCAGAACAGGACAATTCCCTAAGCATCTCCGTTTGGCACTAAACAGAGCTGGACAGAGTCGAGAATCATCTTGACTGAAGTAAGGAAAAGTTCTGTGGATGTTTACTGACACTGAAAGCAAACCTTTTGATTTTTTGACATCAGGCTCCGGCTCAGATTCTCTGATAAACTGCCCCAGGTCACTGACTCGTCCAAATGTCATCTTCCTGAAGAGAGAAGGAAGAATGGAACCACACAGTTTCCAAGAGAACTTCAGCACAGGGAAAGTCACCCACCAGGAAAACAGAAGAGATCAGTACTATACAGACCCGTGTCAGAAAATTTGGCATTTTACCAGTTACCACCATTTCCACCTAAAATTGACACAGGGGGAAAAAAAATCTCCCTTCCTGCATATCTGAACATAAGAGTCTATAGTTAAAATTATTCTAGAAACTTGAAGTAGGCAAATACTTCTGTGACTCAATCCTATCAGCAGGCAGTGCCAGCAAGTGCTCTACAGAATTATAAAACATTACGAAGGAGAAAACAGCTTACAGTACTTAAGGGAACAGAAGAGTGGTAAGGAATAGAAAAGCAAAGTAGCTACAGAAACAAATTTCTGCATGAGACCCACAGGGCAAAAGAGATTTATAATGACAGCTTAAACAGAAAAACAGCAGTGCAACCTACTAATGAAGCACAAGCCTTTCTCTTTTATGGAAGCAGGGAGAAATCAGAGCTCTACATTACAGCATCAAATGCATTTTATTTTCCTGTTGAAATCCAAATAGGAGCTGCTTTGCTGTATTTTGACTCCAAGAGGAGTAACAGCTGGAGGAAATCCTAATGCAAGTATTTCTGGCTGCCATTCTGGCCAGAGCAATGTTCACTACAACACTGGTGTTCAAACACACTAACTACAGAAATTTACTTTCAGACACTAAGA